TTGACCTTTGAAAGTAAATTTTACAAATCTAAATTTTTCTTTTCAAACTCTTCTAGTTTGATTTGCAAATCTTTGATTTTACTTTCAAGATCGTTGTTGGTTTTGGATATGAGTTTATTTTCATTTTTCAATTTTGAAACATCATTTTTATATTTTAAAAACAATTTCTCATAATCCGAAGCCAACCCATTATATTCTTCTAATAGCTCATCATAGGATAAATCATCAAAATCAGATGAGTTAGAGGTTACCTTAGAATCTTCCTCGAATGCCATCAAGCACAAGTTTGCTACTTCTTGTTCCTCTTCATCGAAACCTTCTTCATCGCTCCATATAGCCACATGAGCCTTGTGCTTATTCTTTGATTGACCCTTCCTCTTTAATTGTGGGCAATCATATTTGACATGCCCTGGCTTTTTGCATTCATAGCAAATAATCGGGTCCTTTTCTTTTGGTTCATTTTTGAGGCCTTCATTTCGTTTGAATTTTCTTCCTCGGTAAGGTCTCATCATTTTTCTGAACCGTTTGGCAAACAATGCCATTTCCTCGTCATCGTCATCCGAATCACTCTAAATTTTTGTGGATTTGAGAGCAACTTCAATGTTTTTCTTCTTCTCCTTTGGTGTCTCTTCAATCTTATCAAGGTCCACCTCATCTTCAAGCATCATTTCATGAGTGAGGAGTGAACCGATTAGCTCTTCAAGAGTTAAGGATGTTAGATCCTTAGACTCGATGATTGCCGTCTTCTTTGATTGTCACAAATTTGGGAGGGAGTAGACTAACTTCCTCACAAGCTTTTCATTTGAAATGATCTATCCATATGATTTGAGACCATTGATAATCATTGAAAATCTATCCGTCATAGCTTTGATATCTTCATTTGGTTTCATCCTGAAATTTTCATAGCTATGCGTTAGAATACTAATTTTAGATTTCTTTACCTCATCGGTACCTTCATGAGTGACTTGAAGTTTGTCCCATATTTCTTTGGCGGTTGTACAAGATGAAACTCTTCTGTATTCATCTGGTCCAAGAGTACAAAATATGATATAGATGGCTTTGGAGTTGAGCTGGAACATTTTTATCTCTCATTGACTCCATAATCTTGGATGAGTGAGAGGCTTGAAGTATCATTCTTCTACGACATTTCATGCTCCCATGTCACTTGCTCGAATGAAGTAAATCATTCTATTCTTCCAATAGGCATAGTTAGCCCCATATAAGAAAGGAGGCTTGTTGACGGGCATCGAATCGAGACCGGAGTCGAAGTTTGAAGCGGAGGCCATTGACGACTTTGATTATCGATATAACTCTTCCCGAATCGAATCAAGAGGAGATTAAACCTTCAAATGAGTTAGGCTCTGATACCAATTGTTAAGTTAATCGATTGATGGAATTGGCCAAGAGGGGGTGAATTGGCAATAAAATTTTGGTAGAAGCTTTTGTAGAAAATTGAAAATAATTGCACATCGATTTAGAGTGGTTCGAATTTCTCAACCAAAGTCTACGTCCACTACCTTAGCTATCCACACTAAGGATTTTTCACAAATTCACTAATTTGTCTTTCTTTTGAGGAAAAAGAGTAACCTTACAAACCCTCAAGAATTATACCCCAAATTCTTGAGAACACTTTCCCCCAAAGAGAACAATACAAATTTGCAAACTTACAAGGAAATCCTCACAACGTAGATTGTTTGCACAATTCTAGAACAAAGAAAAGAACACTAAAAAATGAATACAATTGAGCACAATAAGTGTTCTTGAAAGCAAAATGAATATTGAATGAAAAATAGGCTTGAAATTCTCAAACTTGAGGTTTGATTATTTCTCTTTGATTCTCTCTTGATTCTAGTTGCTTGATGTTTTCTTGTTGTTGATCAATGGCTTCTAAGCTTGCTTAAATACACCTTGAATCACTTCTAAATGTTGGGGATGATTAGAGAATATAATATAGCCGTTTTAGTGTGAAAATAATTAATAAAACAGCTTGGAGCGTGGGGGGAATCGGTTCCCTAAGTGTAAAATTCAAATATTTCGACCGTTACACAGGGGGGAATCGGTTCCCTCCGAGCATACTGGAATTCTCGGAGCCAAACCATTCAGGGGGGAATCGGTTCCCTCTGAGCAATCTGGAATTTTTGGCTTTGAAATGGTTCGAAATACTTTGTAAAATTATTTTGAAATTGTTTTAAGATTAAAAATTAATTTTACACTTGAGTAAGGATTAAAAATGATTTTTGAAAGATTTAGAGTAATGTTTTGATATTCGAATAATTATATCGAATATACTTAGAAAACCTTATTGCACAATCTTAAAATGCATTTAACTTAATTTGTTATATCGAAATATCAAAATGTTTTCGAATTTGTTGATTAATTATTTATTTAAAGTTTGAGTTTTGATCATTAGATGATAACTAAGCTTAAGGAAAGCTTAAGTTATCTTAAAATCAAAAGATAAAAGAGTTATGATAGATTAAAGAAAATAGGTTTTTAGGTGGAATTTTGAATAAGAAGGTTTAAATGAATTTGACTTGTCATCCATGAGAATAAGAAGTTAGAAGTGTTAGAATTAAGTTTGGATAACATGGAAAATTTGGTATGATTCTTAACCTTAAGAATTTGGATGAAATATGGGAGATTATAAAGTGTTGGAATGATAGAAATTAGTTAAAGTTGTTATAGATGAGTTTAATAGCATAATAAGGATTTTATACTTGAAAATTTGGGTGAAGTATTGATGAATTTCGAGTGAAAATAGCCTATTTTGGACAGGTGTATCGATACACTATGAGTATGTATCGATGCACTAAGACAATTTTGAAGGTGCATCGATGCATTAAGGGGCGCATCGATGCATGGGAATTTCAAAGCTATTTTGTGTACCGATGTACCCATAGTGCATCGATACACCCCTATAGGAAAAATGGAATTTTGGTTCATTAAATTAGCCTAAGTTGTTAATACCAAGTTATAAGGTTTAGGCTTTTGATAATTGTTTCATAAATTATGTTTATGTAGATATTGAGCCTAAACAAGTTCCAGAACAATCAAAGAGTTAGGATCGAATCAAATCAAGGCTAAGGTGAGTGCAATTTAAATGGTACTTATACTATTGAACGAACATTGGCTTACGATGAGCCAATGATGGAGTTACTATGGTAAGAAGTGACTACTAAAATGTTATTTGATTTGTGATGCAATCATAACATTATTTATGAATGTTTGAATGCATGATTTCATAAGTGATTATAGGAACATGTAATATTAGATACGTGAATTCAATATAAGTGAATTACATGAATAAATGAAAATATGACATAAGTTATCTAGCATTGATACATGAAATATATGTAAGTATGTACATGAATACATGTATAAGTTTATATGTTATATATGTTTATTATATGCACATGTGATATATGTTATATGATATGAAATAAATGTTTACACATACATATGGTATGTGACAGAAGAAAAGAAATATGTGATTATAAGATCAATGATTACACGTACATGTGATACGTGACAGAAAAGAAAGATATGTGTTTATAAAAAGAAATGATATGAATAAGTGATGTGAACTGTTATAAATTATCATGTCCATGTTATGTGATATGAGAGCTAGGGGTATAGTTGACATGCCAAGGGTCGAGGGTTTACCTATGTTCTTCGGGACATATGGACTGTTTACCTATGTTCTTCGGGACATATGGACTGTTTACCTATGTTCTTCGGGACATATGGACTTTTTACCTAGGTTCTTCGGAATCTATGGACTGGTCCTTCGGGACATTTATACGAGCTGTGGTGACAGCATAATTGTGCACAACCTCAATGTACTCACATACCTTAAGTTCTCACTGGTATACATGGGCTAATAAAGAGACTAAACAAATATACTGAAGGTGATATGCATATGTGATTTGATATATTAATAGAAATATGATAGTATATGTGCATGTATGTAATTTAATATTTGAAATGTTTTATGATTTTTATTATATGTTTTATATGTCTCACTAAGTCAACTACTTAGCGTGTGATTGTTTCACACGTAGGTTCCGAGAAGAGGAAGATTGATAAAAGTTATGCAAGACAGGTCAGTTGCTCCTTTCCGAAGATCAGATCAGAAAAGAAATGTATAGTATGTATTTGTAATAAGATCAGTGGTTGACATGTAAATAAAATATTAAATCCGATATGTTTTAATCGGTTTTGAAAAGTCATACGATTGAGTTTTGTAATTTTTTAAATGCGTATATGTAATTGATATTCGAATTTTTTCACTGTTCATAGTAATGTTCATTACTGTTCACGGTACTGTTTATTAATGTTCACGGTACTGTTCATATCGTATAATGCTGTTCATAAATACATATTTTTTTTCAAAATTTTATAATGAAACATAATTTAATAGTATTTATTGTATTTCCTTAATATAAGCTCAAACGTTTTGATATTTTGTAAGAATATGGTTTTAAAAGTCAATGTGACATCTCGGACTCGTATCCGGATCGAATACAGGTTGGGGTGTTACACGATAACTAATATTAAGATTGACATCACCACCGGCTAAATAAAAACAAAGGAAAAGAAGAAGACAACATAATAATATTGAGAGAAAAATTAAGTTAAAAAAGACTGCCAAAAAATTATCAAAATAGATAAAATTTTCCATTAAATAAATATTCTTATCAATCATACATATTTCATTTTATATAAATTTGAATTTCAATATAGAGTTTTTTTCCTGACCAACCAAACGCATATTGATTGGGGAAGTAGTTGACCAATCTCAATCAAAGGCAAATGGAAAGAAAAATGTAAACGGGGTAGCCCACATTTTCATGCATAATTGCAGACAACAACCGTTGCAAAACCTATTTTCTCTTAAAGCCCTTAATTATTTGCCTGCGTCCACCAATTCTTTATTTCCTTTTCTGTTAATGGCTTCAAAATTCAAATTCAAGTAATTTAATAGAAAGGCTTTCCAGATACTCTAAATCCATCAAGTCCCCACATTTGCTCCTTTTCTATTCTTTGTTTTCTCTCACTCTTGTCATTAATCAGCATGAACTAGCCGTAATGATCTCAAAAAAAAAAAAAAAAGGCAAACAGGAAATAAAAAGGTGCTTTCTTTTCTGGAGATTGAAATGGACCCATTACCATGAGGCTAATCTTTTCAAACAACGGTTAGATTCGAAGAGGAGGAGCTTGTCTTTGGTCCTTTTTTTTTACTTGCAGAGTGACTGTGACCGAGAAGAGCAGAGCAAGTGAGAAGGAAACTACAGAAGAAAAGAAAAAAATTCCGGGTTTTTTTTGTTGGTTTTAGAAATGGATGAATCTGCTTGTCTCGTTAGATCGTTTTCCAATCCTGAAGATGTTTCTCGTGAAGTTAAAGAGGTTGGTTTTGAGAACAAAGCCTGAAAAATTTACGGATACAAAGATGGTTCTTTTAGGTTTACTATTTCCTTTTTCTTTTTTTGCTTAAATGGATTTTCTTGATTCAGTTTTTTTTATTTGGACTTGTTTTGTTAATGGGACTATGGTGAAATGATTACTCATGGAAAATCTGGAGGAAAAAAGATTAGGGATTTTAATGGTCGCTTGCTATCATTTTCTCAGTGACCAAACGCAGCATACTTGAGATTCCAATGATTACCCTAAGAAAATTGTCTAATTATGGTGTTTTTTCTCCATCAATCTTTGAGCTTGAAGCCTTCTTTTTATTCTTCCTGTTTGAGTAAGGAAACTGATGGTCGATTTTGAATCGCAGGGTGACCCGGCTCATGGCCAGATTCGTGCACTCACAGAATCGATATCTTTCGGCAGATTTATGTCGGAATCATTGGCATGGGAGAAATGGTCAACATTTTCTCACAATCGTTACTTGGAAGAAGTCGAAAAGTTTTCGAAACCGGGATCTGTTGCTCAAAAGAAGGCTTTTTTTGAAGCTCATTACAAGAGACGAGCTGCAATGAGAGCTGCGGCTTTGCTCGAGCAAACAAATATTGTCACTAATGATGCCTCTCAAATGGATTTAGCCAATTCGAACATGCCTTCAGCTGCGAATCAACGCGAGAAAGATATTTTCGATGCTGAGATAACTAATACTGCTTATGTAGATGCAGGCAAACATAATGTTTTGAGAGAAAATGATGTTACCAACGTGGAACAAGGTCCGAAGGTGATGGAAGAAGATGTGAATATGGAGGTATGTCAGCAGGTTGAGAATTTGAATGCTTTCGAAAATGTTGAAATCCAAGACAAGATTATGGGAACCCCAACGAATACCCCGAAGGTAATGTTTATTTAAACAAGTTTCTGTTTCATTCTTCCTTTAAATCGGGTTTTTATTTATGTTTATCCTCATTATGGAACACTACAGAAACGTGATGAGCCAAAGAACTCGACTTCATCAAGCAAGAAAAGACGAACAAATTCTTCATCAAAGGCATCTCTTCCTAGCAGAGCATCTAAATCTCCATTACATCCTTCTAAACGAAAGGTTCCAGGACTAACCAGGAATGATGCTGATGTTGTTACGTCCACTGGAAACTCAAATGAGAAGAAGAAAACAATGCTGAGCCCGCTCCACACGTCAATTAATTTTGCTTCCAGTTCCGGTAAAAGTGAAAAGACTTCATTAAGAATGTCGAGAGAGAGTGCAACTCCTCCACAAACACGAACGAGGGTATTGAAGAAAGCTGCTGACCAAAAGAATTTAGCTTCATCAAGTGAAAAAAGACAATCAAATTCCACTTTGAAGTTAACTAATCATGGTGGAGTATCCAAACTAGCAATGCCTAGAATCGGAAATGAGTCAAATAACCATACTTTTATTAATAAGAAGCCTGCATTAGACTCAAATGAGCAGAGAAGAATAACTCAAAATTCCCTTCACATGTCGATGAATTTCTCTACACCAGCTGGTGAAGCCACTAAAACATCACCCAAGATATCCAGAGAAAGTTCTAATCGGCTACGAACTTCATCCAGGGTAATTTTTTTGAGGGTGACAAAGTAACATATTTATGTTCACAAGTGAAAAATTAAAATATTGTTTGACATTGTTTTATTTAGAATTTTTTCGAGGGTACCAAATATTTAGGAAATAAACATGAAGTAATTTAGACATTTCAAATGATTTAGACAGTTTCATTCACAAACTGCAGGCAACTGTTGATGCGGATTCAAAGCATGCTTCCAAAGTTATTCAATCACGGGATAAAAGGTAATCTTCACTCCCAAAATGTCTTTGTTGACACTTCGTCTAATCGATATCCCTTTTGCTTACATGATTAGACCTATATCTACAGAACTATATCAGTAAATAAGTATGTTTCAGCCGCAGGAGACAAGAGATGGCCACCCATCTCCAAGTAAGAGTTTTTACTACTTAATCTTTTACGTGTTTTGCATACTGGTGGTCTGAAAACTAATCAAAGTTATTATCGGAAGCTACCAAAAGTGCATTGTGCGATACATATGCAAAATCTAATTTCAAAGTGCAATGGCTTCAGTGTGTTATTTCCCCGATATTACTTTATAGACTGGGTTGCAGATACCATTGAACTAATTACTGAAATCCATGTCTTATATGAACCTAATAATTATTCTGTATTCAATGTGTGGCAGCTGCTCGAAATCTTCCAATGCAAGTGGAACCAGGGCAAAATTTATTAGTTCGTGTCCATTTAGTTTCAGGAGCGAAGAAAGGGCTGAAAAACGGAAAGAGGCAAGTCTTACCATTACATCTTTCTCATGCTTTTGTTGCTATACTTTCAAATCATACCAAGCTTGGTGTTTCCCGTGCTCCATTCCAGTTCTTTAAGAAGCTAGAAGAGAAAAAGAATTCAAAGGAGGCAGAAAAATCACACATGCAAGTAAAATCAAAGGTACTACAAATCAGACAACCTTATTAGGATGTTAATACAAAAGTGTAATTGGTGAAACCCTGTGGTTCCTAAGTCGAAGCTCATAAATTGCAAAGAAGTGAACCAATCGGAGAATCATTTTAATGTTAATACAAAAGTGTAATTGGTGAAACCCTGTGGTTCCTAAGTCGAAGCTCATAAATTGCAAAGAAGTGAACCAATCGGAGAATCATTTTAGATGTATACTCAGTGTGTGTGCTTATAATTGTTTTTGCTTTGCATGTGAAACTGATTTATGGCCTGATATCCAGGAGAAAGCAAAGAATGACTTGAATAAATTCAGGCAAAGCACTGACGTAAAAGCTAGATCAAATGAAGGTTCATGCCATGGATCACATATCCCACACAATTACGTTAAGAAGGTTCTTATTGCTTAACTCTTAACCGACTTTCATTTGACACTGACAATGATACAATGGAATGTGCTGCTTGCCTTTTTATTTTCTTGAACAGCTTAACCATTGGTTTTGATTTTTGGTCTCTATACATTGAAAAGAATTAAAGTTAGCCTCAAGTTACATTGTCAGTTGAACACTCATATACTTTGAAATCCTTTATTCTCTTGATGGTCAGTAGGTGCAGAGGCATACTTAACTCTGTCCTGATTTTCCCCGAGTTTTAAATTAATTGAGTTTGTGTAACTGCAAAAGGATGATGTTATATGTTTTCTACCATGCCTACAGCGTTTGTGCTGTCGATCTGACAGTAAATTTTATGCCATGCAGATAACTTCAAGTTGGCCTCAATCACCAAAACAAGAAAGGAAGCCATCTCACAGCACAGTGCAGAATGCAAACCCGAGACCTCCAAGATGGCCTTCCATTAATACTGAAAGCTCTAAGAATGGACTGATGAAAAATAATAGGACATCGGGGACCTCATTGCCGAAGAAAAGGCATGAAAATGCTTCCCCCAATATCCAGGTTTCAGTTGGCAAAGTTATAGAAACTGGAGGATCAATAACCGGTGGGGGCAGCCAATGACCTTTTAAGTTCTTTTAGTGACAAACAGTTATAGAAACTGAAAATAATGTTGTGAGATAGAATGGGATAGATATCAAAGTGTAGTTTGTAATTTTTCTTTAGTGCCAAATTTCACACAAGTCCTAGGTACAATTTTGTTTGGAACCTTAGCAATCATTCCGCACATAAAAAGTTTGCTGGCTGGTTATGTGGTATTGTGGTTTGGATTATGTTAGCTGTTTACGCTAATTCTTAGAGGAGTTTATATCCATTCTTGAACTGTTCACGTCGATTATACGTGCACGTTAATACATCAGTTGCATATTCCAGGTCAGAAAACTTATAACAGTATTGCAGTAGAAGTATCATGTTTAACGTTTTATCGCCATTTGTATTATACATGATTTTCAACATCCAAGTCCGCACTGTTTATGGAAATGACTTCAAGCTACGTGAACGGCCCTTGATCGATTGCTTAATAATATGACGTGATTACAAGATGGTATCTGTTTAAATCTTTCTTAATCATAGACAATATACACATAATTTGTAAATTTCTCTCTTTTTTTTCAACTATCAATTGCCCATAACAGTTTATGATAGCTATTTAGAACTTAAGGTTTTGTTTAAAATTATTTAGGTAACTAAATCTACTAAAAATTAGCAAAAGATGGTGGGGATGCTTATCGAAAAAGAAGCATTAAATTCAAGTAAAGACAGAAAATCAAGTTGGGTCAAAACTCAAAAGCAAAATACAAAGTTATTAATGGTTTATTTAAATAATGCCATGTTTGTGCTCTTTTTTTATTATTATAATCATATATTTTAAATTTTATATTTATATAAATTTCAATAAGTTAATCCTTTGTATTATAAATTCGAATATAATCATGATATTTAATTGTTACTGCTAATATTCTATGTTCCACTTCAAGGTTTGTTACGTTATGAGATCTTGTAATTCTATGGCCCATATTCTAGCTACGTGGACTCTTAGGTCTGATAATACTATGTACTTTGACTCGATTTGTCATGAGCTTATATCATGTGTTGTATTCAATGATTATGGTTATGGTAATACAAGTTCTTAGCACTCTTTTCTCCTTATAAGCCTAAAAGGGAAAAGACGAAACTACCCTTTGTCTTGGGGGTAACTACTCCATTTTTTACTATTAAAAAATATATAGAAAACTATTAAATTAGAACTCCAAATTTTAATTTATTTTCATTTTGCTCCCCTCATTTTCTATAGTTGACTATATTTCTCCTTCATTTTTATTATGTTTGACCTCTTTTAAGTTGAAATCCTGATTCTGTCCGTATAAAAGAGGTTTATAACGAGGTCGTTTTTGTTAAAAGGAAATCATTATTGCGTTCTCTTACCTTCTTTGTGGATGATTTTTTCATGGCCAACATTAGATGGTAATAAAACGCAACAGTTAACTTTCTCCGATGGTATGGTAATTCTAGGGACCACATACAAATATTATACTTGTTTAATAAAATAAAATAATAGTGTGTTATCAATTCTTTCTAAACACGATTAGTACGATACACTTTATATGCGTATTCGGTATTTGTAATTAGTACCTTTTTATTCTTTCCTTATAAATTACATATGATATCCTCGAATTATGACATTCATTTTAAATTAATCTTTAAATTTTAAAATGTTTTATATCAATCCTCAAATCATGGTTTCATTCTTAATTAATCCCTAAACTTTAGAATATTTTGATTGTGGCCTGCAGAGTTTATCAGTATAGATTGCGGAAGCACAAGTGATTACACTGATCCAAGTACTGGGCTTTCATGGAGTTCAGACATTGATACCATGAAACACGGGAGCCAAGTGTCGGTCGAAAACACTTCGGGAAACTCGGTTCAGTATCGAAATCGAAGAGACTTTCCTTCGGACAACAAGAAGTATTGTTACAATTTGAGGACCAGGGAGAGAAGAAGGTACCTTGTTCGTGCAACGTTTTAGTACGTAAGCCCTGGAGATGTCGATGCATACCCTAAATTCGAGCTCTACTTAGATGCAACCTTGTGGGGGACTGACAATTCAAGATGGCTCCAGAACATATGTGAATGAAATGGTCATAAGGGCACCTTCAGATTCAATTGATGTTTGCTTATGTTGTGCAACAACCGGTTTTCCCTTCATTTCGACACTCGAGCTTCGCCCCTTGAATCTTTCCATGTATGCTACTGATTTTGAGAATGATTTCTTCTTGAATGTGGCAGCTAGAGTGAACTTTGGTGCTTTGACAAAGGTTTAGTGAGGTAAATTATGATCTGCTAGGGTATCTGATAACTGTTTGACGTTTTGCTTCATTTGCAAATCGCAAGGCATTTGATCGATATCTGTGTTGATTTATGAAAATCGAATTTGCATTTATAGGTACCCTGATGATCCATATGACAGATTTTGGGAGTCTGATCTCGATAGAGGCATAATTTTCTTGTAGGAGAGGCTCGTGGAACAGAACGAATCAAGACGTCGAAGAACATTGATATAAGAACCAGAGAATATCCGCCTGTTAAAGTGATGAAAACGGCTGTTGTTGGCACCGAAGGAAATCTTAGCTACAGATTGAACCTCGAAGGCTTCCCTGCCAATGCTCGAGCCTATGCATACTTTGCTGAAATTGAAGATTTGGCTCCGAATGAAACTGGGAAATTCAGATTGCGAGAGCCTTACATCCCTGATTATAGCAATGCTGTGGTAAATATAGCTGAGAATAGCAACGGGAGCTACACGCTTTATGAACCGAGTTACATGAATGTCACGCTCGATTTTGTTCTGTCACTCACTTTCTCCAAGACCAATGATGCTACTCAAGGACCGCTCCTTAATGCAATTGAGATAAGTAAATACCAGCAGATTGCTGCAAAAACTGACAGGCGAGATGGTAAGATGGCCTTGGGGTGTTTTGATTTCATTTTAACTTTTGATCGTATTGCATATTAGCGTGTACGTTAAAAGAATTTGCTTTATTCAGTGAGCTAATAACTCATCATTTTCTCGATTTGCTAGTGACTGCTCTCGATGCCATTCGGAATATCGCTGCCAGAAGCGTTTGGGCAAATGAAGGGGGTGATCCTTGTGTATTAAAATGAAGCGTTTGGACATGGGTAAATTGCAGTCCAACAACACCACCAAGAATAAATAAAATGTAATGCACTAGAACTCGGTAAAGTTCCTGTTCACTTCATAACTACGTCACACTTCACCGCATTACCTTTGATTATTAAAACAACCTTGTTAAGTTCTTTTTAGACCAGTTACTCTATTGTTCATAGAATTTGATGGATTTTTTAAACCGCATTACCTTTAATTATTAAAACAACCTTGTTAAGTTCTTTTTAGACCAGTTACTCTATTGTTCATAGAATTTGATGGATTTTTTAAACCTTAAACAGTGCACTGTCAGGACAGAATCTGAAGGGCCAAATTCCATCCGAGATTAATCAAATGGGGGGATTGATTGAGTTGTAAGTCCTATTCTTCAACATCTCGGTTTTGATCTTCACGAATTTGTCCGATTAGCTTCTACTGAAAAGCTCCCATCTTCTGTAGGTGGTTGGATTCCAACTCCTTAATAGGGCCATTACCTGATATGAGTAGCCTTATTAATCTGAAAATTGTGTAAGCTCTCCAGTCTTCACTATGTGCAATACATGTATACGCAATAATTTTGTTTAGGAATTCAGAATTGGCATTTCATTTTGGTGCTTGTTCTCTAGTGAGCTTGTCCCGACTCACATCCTTTACCGGTGCTTGCAGACATGTGGAGAACAATAAACTTAATGGCTCACTACCTTCGTACCTCGGTCGTTTGCCTATCTTACAAGCGTTGTAAGTAGAATTCTCGATTTCGTATCTCCTATTTCCATATCATTCAAAAGAATTAGATGCTTTGTTTTTAACAAAAATGCTGTTAGAAGCAGATAGTTTAGGCTTAATATTAGACGCTATGCTAAGCTTAAGAAAACTCATCATAAGACTATTCGATCTCTCCTAGTTCTCCCACAGTTTCTTGTCTGCCTCCGGACTAGTATCAGTCAGTTTAGTGAGCTCATCCAAATTTCTTATGAAACTTTTAATAAGAAAAAATATTCAAATTTCTTATGAAACCTAAATTGGTAATTTAATTCCTATCAAATCTGGCTATGAGGCCAAATGTTAAAATCAATTAATCTTGCATGCGAAAACAATTAACATATAAGGATTGTAGTAAAAACAGAAAGAGATGAAAGACATAATTTTCATTCAAGTAAAAACCTGCTTAAATACATCACAAATAACTAATAAGCTGAAACTTCTACCCATGTTTCCATGTACTGCCACTAACATAAAACATGGCAACTACTTAGCTAAAAAACAACAACTAAACTTGATTAAGTAAAATGCATAACATACTCCTAAAAACTAGGATAAGTTGCAGCCACTAGAGATATTTTCAACACTCCTCCTTGAATCAGTAGCTACAAACTCCTAAAGCTTTTCTCAATGATTCAAACATGCTCCTTGGAAGAGCCTTAGTAAATATATCAGTCAGCTGGTCATTTGTGCTGCAGTAGAGCAAAAAAACTTCACCATTCTTCTGGACTTCTCTAAGAAAATAAAGTTTAATGTTGAAGTGTTTGGTCTTTCCATGAAAGACTGGATTATTGGAGATTGCAATGGCAGCTTGGTTATCCACAAACACTTCTGTGCTCCTCTTTTGCTCCAAGCATAAATCATTCAAAATCTTCCTCAACCATAAGGCTTGATTTACAGCTACTGTAGTAGCTATAAACTCCGCTTCAGCAGTGGATTGAGCCACTATATCTTGCTTCTTTGAACTCCAAGAGAACACTCCTAAACCAATCATGAAACAATATCCTGAAGTGCTTTTCATGTCATCTAAGGATCCTCCCCAATCACTATCAGAGAATCCATGAAAATTGAATTCTTGACCATGTTTGAACATGACACCATAGTCAATAGTTCCTTTGACATATCTCAGCAGTCGTTTACAACAATAAAATGTTCTTCACTAGCAGCTTGGGAGAATCTGGCGAGGACACTTACAGCATGAAAATGTCAGGTCTTATTGTTGTGAGATACATTAGACAACCTATAAGACTCCGATAGACAACCTCTTCAACCT